CCAGTCCCCGCTGGGACCACCGCTCTCCAGCAGCCGTTCCACCTCCTCCCGTCGCTGCTGTGGGATCGAGCTGTAGGCTCGGGCTTCCAGACGGGGCGCTGTGGGTTTAAGGTCAGCGTTGACGCACCAAAAGTTGCACTGGGGACCCCACCAGCCTCCCCCCCAGTGTTGCCGCTCCTGTGGCATCCCCTGCTCCCTGCGTGGGTGCTCCTAACCCAGAGTGCTCTTCTATGCAAAGGTGCACCCTCACCCCCCCATTCGGATGCTCCTTAAGGGATGGGCGTACCCAAATCCCATCTGGGTGCTCCCAACCCCATCTGGGTGCTCTCCAAACTACAGGTGCTCCCCAGCCCCATCCGGATCATTCATAAGGTCCCCAACCTCATTGACATGATCCACAAGCCATGGGTGCTCCTCAACTCCATCCAAATCATCCCTAAAGTACGGGTGTTCCCCAAACCTATGGACACGATCCCAAGGTATGGCTGCTCCCCTACCTCATCCAGATCATCCCCGACTACCGTGTGCTCCCCGATCCCATCCAGACAATCCCCAAGGAAGGAATGCGTGCTCTCCAACCCCAATCCATGATCCCCATTGTGTGGGTGCGCCCCAAACCCATCAGCATTATCCCCAAAGGTCTGGGTGCCCCCCAACCCCATTAGATCGCTCCCAAGCGTTGGCTGGCCCTCAATCTCATCCCTAACACATGGGTGTTCCCCAGCCCTATGGGGATGATCCTTAATACATGGGTGCTCCCCAGTCCCAACAGATGATCCCCAAGGTATTGGTGCTCCGCAGCCCTATTTGGATTATCCCCAAGGATGAGGTGCTTCCCAACCCTACCTGTGTGATCTCAAAGGTACGGATGCTTCCCAACCCAATTTGGGCAGCACCAATCCCTCCACAAGACCTCCATCTCCCTTAGATGCTTCCAGACACGGGGTGCTCCTTCACCCCATCCCACCACAGCCAAAGAAATGACGGGACAGCCCCCCCCCCACACACCCACCCCCCCAACTATGGGTGATGCTCACCCTTGCTGATCTGGTGTGGCTCCTGCAGGCTGTGTGTATCCAGGAACACCCCGCTGTCACTGTGCAGCTTCTCGCCCTCGGCCGCCGTCCCCAGCTCGGCTGCTCGTGCCTTGGCCAGCTGCTGCTTCTGCCTGCACGTGTGCCAGCTGCGCTGCGTCAAACCCACCGTCCCCTCACCCCCAATCCCCCACCCCCAGAAAGCCCAAACCTACCACTTGAAGGCCACGTAGGCGAGGAGACCCACCACCACAGCAGCCAGGAGGGAGCAGTACACGGGGATGATGTTCTGCCCCACGTCCTCAGGGAGGGGAGGGACGAAGGTGGAGGCGGAGGTGGCTGAGGCAGTGGGGCCTGTGCTGTTTTCCTTGGGGAGGTTTCCTTCGGCCCGTTTTGGGATATGTGGGTCCTTCTCTGTGGGAATGAGGGATTAGAAAACCCTTCATGCTCCCACTGATGCCGCTGCCTTGGTTTCCCCCTGGAATGGGGTGGGGGTACCCAAAACGGCACCCCCAGGTGGGACCAGAGTAGGTCTTGGGATGGGAGGAAATCAGATCCAGTACTATGGGGTTAAAGGGAGAGGTGCCCCCTCCCATCGAACCTCCCCCATCCCTTCCCAACCACATCAAAGCCCCAATGCCGGCAGCGCCGGGAGCATCTGCTGCATGCGGGGCGTGATGACAGCCATGGGGCAGCAGCTGGCGATGGTGGGGAGGGGGGAATGTGGGTGGTGGGGGGCGCTGAGGGGGGCTCAGAGCTCCGAAAGAGTGGGAATGTACAGAAACAGGCTGCCCAGGATTGTGGGGGGAAGGTCAGCATCCCTGGATGCATTCCAGAACAGTGGAGATGTGGCACTGAGGGATGTGGTCAATGGGCATGGTGAAGGTGGGCTGGGGTTGGACTCAGGGGTCTTATCTTTTCCAACCTTAGTGATTTGGGAGGCTCAGAGTACGGGATGTGGGGATAAAAGGAGCTCTGGGGTCACCCCGTGGCACAATGCACCTCCTTTTTTCTCTGCTGTGCACCCTAAAAGCAAGGAGTGTGCCTCACTGCTACAGATGGGGAAACTGAGGCACGGCCCTGCGGCATCCCATAGGGGCTCGCTCACACAGAGCATGTTGGAGAGGCGACTGCACACATGGTGCATCACTTGGTCAGGCTCACAGCCAGGCTGGAGTGGGTGACAACAGGGAAAGGCGTGGGGCTCTGGGGTGGCACTCACTCTGGGCGCAGGGCTCACACTGGGTGTCGGTGAGGCTGCAGGGCACGGCCGCCCCGAAGCCTGGAGGGCAGGAGGAGCAGCACTCGCCGGACTGAGTGCAGGCACCGCTGGGGCACGGCGGGCTGCGGGCCGACACCTGCCCAGAGACATGGGGGAGTCATGTGGGGTGTCCTGCAAGCGGCCACAGCTTCCCCGAACCCACAGCGCCACGTCCGCTTAACTGCCCAGCACGTCCCCTTAACTCTGCCCTGCATCCCTTTGACTCTGCCCATCCTATCCCCTTAACTCTGCCCATCCCATCACCTTTACTCTGCCCAGCACATCCCCTTAACTGTGCCCTGTGTCCCTTTGACTCTGCCCCATCCTATCACCTCAAGACTCCCCATCTCATCCCCTTAACTCTGTCCTGTCTCACTCCCTTAACTCTGTGCACCCCATCGACTCTGCCCATCCCCTTAACTCTGCCCATCCCCTTAAAACTCTGCCCATCCCATCCCCTTAACTCTGCCCATCCCATCCTCTTAACTCTGCCCCATACCCCCTCAACTCTGCCCTTCCCACCACCTTAACTGCATCCCCCACTCAAAAACCCACAAACTCCTCCATCTGTCCCCCCACCAAAGAACCCCCCCCCCCCCCCCAATTTGGGGGCTGCTCAGATTACCCCTCCTCACAAAAAAAAACCCCAGTTGGCCCCACCAGGGTTGTGTGGGGCCGTATCCTGAGTGGGGCTGAGATGGGGAGGGTCGGGGGGGTCCCAGTCCCATGTGGGTCCCACACGGTGCCCCTGGCCCTCAGCTTGCAGCCAGATGGGGTGGAGGGAGGGGGGGGGGGAGGTCCCATGCATGGAGAGGGGGAGAGGGAGGGGGTTGGGGAACATGCAGGGAAATAATGCGGGGAAATAGGGCAAAATAAGGCAAAATAGGGCAAAATAGGGCAAAGTGTGGCAAAACAAAGTAAGATAAACGAAAGTTAAATGATGTAAAACAAAACAACAGAGGAAAACAATATAGGAAAATAATGAGGAAAATAAAGAATGCAGGAAAATAAAGTCGAATACGAAGGGAAATAGAGGAAAATTAAGGAAATTAAAGGAAAAATAAAGCAAAATGCAGTAAAAAAAAAGGTGAAGTAAAATAAGATAAAGTAAAATGCAGTAAAATACTGTGAAATAAGGAAAAATAAAGCAAGATGCAGCAAAATAAGTAAAAATAAATTAAAATACTGTAAAGAAAGGTGAAGAATGTTAAGAATAAGTGCAGTAAAATGCTGTAAAATAAGGAAAATAGGGCAAAATTTACAGTAGAGTAAAACGAGACGAAGTAAAGCAGCAAAACGAAGGAGAAAGCGCAGCGATGTGCAGGGAAGCAGAGTAACACGGGCCGAAAGAAAGCAGAATACGACAAAGTAACGCAAGGAAAAGGGGAAAGGACGGAAAGCAAAACAAACTTGAATAGGGCAGAGAGAAAGAAAGCAGAATAACGCCACAAGGGAAGAGAAAAAAAGAGCGGACCTGCGGGCAGAGCGGCGCGGACAGCAGCAGGCACAGCGCCCGCGATAGGCGCAGCGCCGCGCAGCCCCACCGCATGGCGGGGCCGGGCCCCACGGCGCGCTGCTCAGCTCGGTTCGGTCCGGCTCGGCTCGGCTCGGCTCGGCGCGGTTCGGCTCCGCTCGGTTCCGCCCGCTCTCGTCTCCGCTCCGCTCGGCCCGGCTCGGCTCGGCGCGGCCCCGCAGGGAGGGGCGCGGCGCCACGCCATTGGCTGATGTGTGTGGGCGGGGCCAAAGTACGCCACGCCCATCGCCGCTCGGCTCGGCTCGGCTCGGTCCGGAGCGGTTCGGGACTGGGTTCGGGAAAGCGGAGGCGGGGATGGGTTGGATCGGGTCGGACCCCAGCGGGCTCGGTTTGGTCCGGAGCATTTTGGACTGTTTGAACCCAGTTCAGCCTTGTTCAGCTCAGGTCCGGCCCAGCTGAAATGGTTCCGATTGTGTTCAGATGGTGTCCTGCCCGCTTCAGCCCCGTTCAGCCCAGCTCAGCCTGGTTCAGCCCCATTCAGCCGGATTCATGCCAGTTCAGCCCCATTCAGCCGGGTTCATCCCAGCTCACCCAATTCCCCCCACCTTCAGCCCGGGTTCTGTAGGCTCATGTGGCCTCTGCATGTCCCAGTTCAACCCCACTGTTCTCCCAGGACCCCACGGAGCAATCCCCATTCCCCCCATATGCCCATCACCATCTCCACAACCCGCCCTGCCCCACGGGTGAGCCTCCTGGGCCGGGTGATTTCAATGGGGCAGTTATAGGGTGACAAGTAGGATGCCGTCCTCACGGCCTTCATTGAGCCCCAGAAAGTCCCAGTGCTCCCCCAAAAAGCATCCAGAAATGGGAAAAGCGACTTTATTGACCCCTCCTGAGGAAGTGGATGCAGAATCTCAGCACAAATATGGGATCTCAGCATGATTGTAGGATCTTGGCGTGGGTGTAGGATCTTGGGGTAGGCGTGGAATCTCAGCACGGGTTTGTGGGATCTCAATGTGAGTATAGGGTCTTGGGTGTGGGATCTTAGGATGTGTATAGGAACTCAGCAGGGATGCAGGACATTGTTATGGGTGTAGGATCTCAACATGGGTGCTGGAACAGGCTGTCCAGAGAGGCTGTGGATGCCTCATCCATGGAGGTGTTCAAGGCCAGGTTGGATGGGGCCCTGGGCAGCCTGGTCTAGTATTGAATGTGGAGGTTGGTGGCCCTGCCTGTGGCAGGGGGTTGGAGATTCATGATCCTTTGGGTTCCTTCGAACCCCAACCATTCCATGATTCCATGATCTTGGTGTAGGTGTGGAATCTCAGTGTGAGTGCAGCAGGATCTTGGTGTAGGTGTAGGACTTGAAAATGGGCACAGGATCTCAGCATGGATGCAGGACATGATCAGGGCCGCAGGATCTCAGTGTGGTTTCATTATCTTGATGTAGGCGTAGGATCTCATCATGGGTGTAGGGTGTCTCATCATAGGTGTAGGATCTCTCATTATGGGTGTAGGATCACATCATGGGTGTAGGGTCTCTCATTATGGGTGTAGGATCTCATCATGGGTGTAGGATCACATCATGGGTGTTGGGTCTCATCATGGGTGTAGGATCTCATCATGGGTGTAGGATCACATCATGGGTGTAGGGTGTCATCATGGATGTAGGGTGTCTCATCATGGGTGTAGGGTCTCTTATCATGGATGTAGGGTCTCGTCATGGCTCCACAACCTTGTGATGCTCACAGGATGTCAGCACGGCTGCAGGATCTCAGTGTGGTTGCAGGATCTCATGCTGGCCATGAGATCTCAGCAGGGTTGCAAGATCTTGGTGTGACTGTAGGATCTCGGCGTAGGTGTAGGATGTCATCGTGGGCACAGGACCTCGTTATGGCTATAGGATCTCATTGTGGGCGCAGGTCCTCATTATGGGCAGTGGGATGGGGCCCTACCAGCCACGCACGGGCTGCCATAGGGCCACCACCTGCCCCTCTTCGTGCACGTAGTACACAGGGTGCATGGCTGCCGTAGCACACGCCTGTGGGGGAGAGTAGGGTGACACACAGGGTGACACTGGGGACAAGGGGATGGGGGACAGCACTCACGTGGTATGGGATGAGCGCCAGCACGCTGCCCACGGGGAACTTCCCAAAATCCATCTGTCCATCAGCGTGCTCCAACAGCCCGTGCTCCTGCGTCAGCCCCACCAACCTGCAAGGTCACACCGTCATGTCCCTGGGCCACCATCCCAACCCCGTCCCTGACCCCGTCACTCACCGCAGCTCGGGGTGCCCATCGATGGCAGCGCAGCCCTGGGGGCCCCGTCCTGCTCCTGCCCCGTGCAGGCTGAGTGCTGTCCAGCCACAGTCCACCAGCAGCTGCCCTCGGTGCGCGTAGTGCCCGATAACCCTCGTGAGGACACGGATGGCCACGTCCTGGGGCTGGCAGGAGCCCAGCTGTGTCTGCTGCAGGTCTGCAGAGAGCCGTGGGGTCGGGGCTGTGCTGGGACACGGTGGGGCAGCGGGGTGCTGTGGGCACTCACCATAGAAGATGTAGTTGCCCGGGTGCAGCTCGGTGAGTTGGGACATCTCAGGGATGGGGTGGCTGCAGGAGGGAGTGGAGCCGATGCTGGCGTGGGGACAGGGCACACCAGCCTGCCGCAGCCTGTGGGGGGGGGAAAAGGGGAATGTCACCTATTGGGTGTCACCGCTGTCGTGCCATCGAGTGGGGCCAAATGTGCCCCCCGCGCAATGGAACGACACCACAAGGGAGTTTGGGTCTCATCCAGGTGTGGAAGGGGAACCGTCCAGGTGTGATGGCAGAGCCATCCAGATGTGGAAAAGTTAACACCCCCTCTCCCCCCCCCCCAGTGTGCTGGGGCCCACCCAGATGTGCAGTCACCAACCAGACGTGGAAGAGGTCCCCCCATGAAACGTGCCAAGGCACCATCCTGACGTGGAAGAAGTTCCCTCCCAGCCAGAACTGTGCCAAGGGATAATCCAGATGTGCCATGGCCATCCAAGTGTGGAGGTTTTCACCCCTCCCAGAGCTGACTGTTACAAGGGACACCCAGATAAGGTCAATTACCACCCCAAGATGTGCCAGAGCACACACTCTAATGTGCTCAGCATCTTTCCAGATGTGCAGGAACCAAATTCCAATGTGCAGGGAGCCCCCACATTGTGCCTGGGGTCTCCCTCTTGGGTTTCATCCCCCCCACTCCCCCCAGATGCACCCCACATGTGTCAGGCACAGTGCATTCTGAAGCTGGGTTTAGGGGAATGTGTCCCAGATCTTGAAAAATGGGGGCTCTTAATGGGAACCCCGCACAGCTGGCCTTGAACTCCTTGAATGTTTGGGGTATTTTGAGCTGGAGAACATCCCTGTGCACCCAGAGATCCCACTGACCTCAAGGGAAGGGAGAAACATCCGTCTGCAATTCACTCTGGGATGTGAAACCCCACTCAGCTCTTCCCCCGGGGGGACAAAAGGGAGGTGGGCAGACTGGGGACGGGACACATCAAAGGGGTTTGGGGCCATCCCCTCCGGCCCCCTGGGGCTCAGGGCTTTGTGGGGCCGCGCTTTATGGGGCCGGCAGGAAGCGGGCGATTTGCATTTACAACCAGCACATTGGGGCTGGTGGTTTTATGGGATGGACAGAGCAAAGGGCTCAGCCCCTATAAAAATTCCCCTTAATTCTAGCCAGGTTTGGGGCCGGGTGTTGTGTACAATGGGGTCCCTATTGGGGCACGCACTCACGCAGCCACAAAGCCGAGGACAGCGTTGGTGGTGGTCCTGGCGATGGCCTGGATGGCGTCTGCCCCACTGCAGCCATAGGTGTTCCCACAGTGTGCATAGACCCCAACCAATGTCACTTCCTTGGGTGCATCATTGGCGATGGCCCGGGCCAGCTCCAGGGCTGCAGGGTCCGTCGGGCGCACGCCAGCTGCCAGCAAGGAAACAGGGTCATGGGGATGTAAGGATGGGAGTGGGATGCTGCTATGGGGTGGGTGGGATTGGGGGTTCTGTGATGGATGGGGAAGGTTGGGTATGTCCTTCCTGCATGGAACATAAATATGGACCCTATATCCTAATACTGGCTCTAACATGACCCTAACACTAATTCTGATGCCTAATTCAACCTATCCCTAATCCCTAACCCTGACACTAACCCTAATCCTAATGCCTAACCCTAAACCTGCACACATGGGGCATCTCTCTCCATGGAGCATCCTTGGGGTGAATGAAAAAGGCTTTTGGGGATTATTGGACCCGCACTGGCTTGAGCTGCTGTGGGCTCTGGGAACATCCCTCTTCCATTGACCCTTGGGGTGGTTGGGTGTAAGTGAGGATTTTGAGACTCATGGATCCGTATTGGTAAACTGGAGCTGGGAGTTTTGGGAGCACAAGGGACTTCCCTTCCTCACTGACCATCCTTGGGGTGGTTGGATGCAAATAGAGCTTTTGGGGTTGACGGCCCTATATTGGTAAGCTGGAGCTGGGAGCTTTGGGGGCACAAGGGACTTCCCTTCCTCACTGACTATCCTTGGGGTGGTTGGATAAATAAATAGGGCTTTGGGGGCTGATGGACCCATAACTTGAGCTAGAGGAAGCTTTGGAGACATGTGGACCATCATTGCATGAAACAGCCTTGGAGTGGGCGCAAATGGGGCTTGTGGGATTCATGGACATATGGTGCTACAAGGGCTGGGGGCTTTGAGGACGCACGGAACATCTCTCCATGGAAAATCCTTGGGGTGGATGAAATCTTTTTTGGGGATTAATAGGCACACGTTGGCTTGAGCACTGGGGCTTTTGGGGGAACGTGGGCCATCTCCTCATGGAGCATCTTGCGGTGAATGGTGAGAAAGATATTTAGGAGACGCTGACCCACCCCATCCTCCCCAACCCACGGGAATCAAGGCCTTGGTGACCCCTCACCCCATCCCCAATCGCCATCCCCACCTCTGCCGTTGCCGCAGTCGAGCTTCAGCCAGACAAGCCAGCGTTTGCCATGGGCCAGTGGCCGCTGCCGCAGGCAGGCCAGCGCCTCGGGGCGGTCCAGCAGCACGTGGAAAGCTTCGAGGCGCTGCGCCAGTCCTGCGCACTCCTCCAGCCGTGTGGTGGGCAGTGGGTAAGCCAGCAGGATGTCATCAAAGCCACCGTCCGCAAAGAAACGCGCTTCGGCCAACGTGGAGACGGCAATGCTGCGCCGCGTGCCGCCGGTGGCCAACAAACCGCCTTCCCTTTAGGCAACCATCCATGGGACGAGGCGATATTGGTGGGAACGATGGGGATAACGGGGATGTGGGGGACACTGGGGACAAAGGGTGGCACTCACAGCGTCTTGTGGGTCTTGACGTGGGGTCGCAGGCGGACGCCCAGGGTCCGGCAGTGCTCCCGCATGCGCTCAGCATTGCGACGCGCCGTGGTGCGGTCGATGGTCAGTGCTGGGGTGGGCAGAGTGTCCAGCCGGGCACCCAACCACATGGCCACTCTTCTGGAGACACTTTTTGAGGGGGTTCTGGGGCGGCTGGTCACCACTCTCGACCTGCAAGCTGGGGGAGTGTGTATGGGAGGGGTCCAGGTGGGAGGGGTGAGAGAATTGGCTGTCTTGGAGCAGAGATATTTGGGATAAGGACAGCTGGAGCACCTGCATTACCTGGGTCAGGACACCCGGGTCTGGGATACTAGGAGATAAGGACAGCTGTGGCACTGGGACACCCAGGGACACCTGGAAGACTGAGAACAGGGACACTGAGGGAGAGGGACGTGATGTTAGGACACCTGGAACACCTGGGTCAGGGACATTTGGGACATGGGAAACCTGGAAGATTGGCAACTGGGATGCTGGGGGATAGGGGCTCCTGATGCTGGGACACCTGGAACACCTGGGTGACCTGGAAGGTTGGGAATGGGGACTCTGGGTGATAGGGCAGCTGGGACAAGAACACATGGGACACTGGGAGTAGGGACATGTGGGACTGGAACAGCTGGAACACCTGGGTCAGGACAGCTGGGATGAGGACACATGGGATAACAGGAGGAGGAACATCTGGGAAAGGGGCACTTGGGTCTAGGATACCTGGGGACAACAACAGCTGGGACATGAAGAACAGGGACACCTAGGGACAGCACACCTGGGACAAGGACAGCAGAATGGGGATATAAGGGAACAGAGACACCTGGGTCACCTGGGTGAGGGACACCTGGAGACAGCTGGGACATTGGAAACAGGGACACTTGCAGACAGGGACACCTGGGACTGGGATTTCTGATGCCAGGACACACAGAACACCTCGGTCATCTGGGACAGGGACGCTTGAGTGTGTGACACCTGGGGACAGGGACACCTGGGACTGAGACACATGGAAACAGGGACAGCTGGGACACTTGGAACAGAGACACCTGGGGACAGGGTGAGTTGGCACAGGGACATCTAGAGGTTAGAGAGGCACCTGGGACAGGAATACCTAAGATAATGAGAACAGGGACACGGGGGAACATTTGGGACAGGGAAATCCGGGATAGGGACCCAGCGAACAGGAGCACCTGGGAGTTGGACACCTGGAACGTAGACCTATGGGACCGGGACCTATGGGACAGTGGGGCAGCCGGGCCCAGGACCTGGCCTCAGGGACACGGGGACAGTGCCACCTGGCACTGCCACGGGGTTCTCCCTGTCCCTGCAGGAGCAGGAGCAGAGGTTGACGTCCTTCGGGGAGCGCCCCGTGCCTCAGTTTCCCCACAGGCTCCCACCAAGGCCATCCCAGCAGCACCCCAAGCCCTCCCGTCCATCTGTCCTTACCTCACTGCCGTGGCTGCTCTCGGCGCGGCTCCGGCGGCCTCTGGCCGTGGCTGTGCTGGTGCAGCTCCACGTGATGCCGTGGGCACCCGCGGCCAGCCCTGCCCAGGGACAGAGGTCGCTGCCAGCCGTGGGGCCCCGGCAATGGCAGGGGCAGGGGAGGACACGGGCGCTGACAGTGCTTGGGGACAGGCATGGGGATAGGATGCCAGCAAGGAGGTGGGGATTTGGGGTCACTGAGACCCTGGGCACTTGTGACGTGCGGGGACCTTGCTGCTGAGACCCCTGCGCTGGTCACACGTGGGGACACAGTTGAGACCCCGCATGCTTGTAACATGTGGCTGAGATCCATTGCACTCCTAGCGCATGGGAACAATGCTGCTGAGCCCCCTGCACTCATGACACCAGTGGGGGCAATGCTGCGGAGGTCCTGTGACGGTGACATGCAGTGATGTGGCTGTTAAGCTCATGACATGTGGGGATTGAGATCCATCACACTCATGACATGCGAGGACACAGCTGAGATCCCCTCACTCACGACAAGTGGGGACACAGCGAAGGCTGCCACATCTGTGACACAGAGGGACACAGCTGAGACCCCCGTCAACACTCACGACATGAGGGGATATAGCTGAGACCCCCTGCACTCATTACACCAGGGGACACGGCTGCTGAGACCTCACGATGGTGACATGCGGGGACCAGGCTGAGACCTCCCATGCCCGTGACACGTGGGGACACAGCTGAGATTCCCCCAGCTTGTGACATGAGACAGGAGGTGGCTGCCACATGCGCCCGTGTGCCAGGCAGGCTGGGGACAGCACAGACAGCCTGCAGGGACACGGGGCCACTGGCCCCCCGCCCGGAGCACAGCCAGTGCCAGGCCAGCCCTGCTATGTAGGGCAGGAAGAAAAGAAGGGCCCCGTGCCCTCACGGCATCCCAAAAACACTGCATGGGGGGGAAAGAATGTCCCTAACAGAGACAGCGCGGGGCAGACAAAGGCCTTGTGCACATTTATTTCTTATAGACAGATATATTATTCTTTTTCTTTCTTTTCTTTCTTTTCTTTTCTTTTTTTTTTTTTGTAAAAGAGCTAGAAATCGATAGAAAAAAACTTTGGGGGGGAGGGGGGGATGCAGCCGGCTCCTGGCCAGCGGGCGTGAGGGGGGGGGGATGTGGTACCCCCTTCCCAGCAAGGGTCCCCCCCCCCAGCACCTCCTCACCCCCCGTGCACGTGCTGTTGCCCCCATCCCAATGGGGCTGGATAAGGCCACGGCATGGGGCCGAGCATGCAGCCCCCGTTGGGGCTCAACCCTCCTCATCCTCACCCCCCCCCGGCTCGCAAGGGGCTCGGGGCGCTGCTGCAGGAGGATCGGTGTCCCCCTTCATGCCGTGCCCCCCCAGGAGGGGCCGGGTGCTGTAGGAAGGCCATCGGGGCCGGGTGTGGGGTGCCAGCCTAGGACTTGCCCTCGGTGGGGTTGTATTCCGTTTCGCCAGCTGAGACCTGGGAGATGCGGCGGGTGGAACGCCAGAGCCGCCGGTGGAACTGGCCGGGGCGCACCTAGGGGAGGGGGAGGTCAGCAATTACCCCACAGCTCATCTCCATTCCCTTCCATATCTCCATTCCCACCCTCTTCCACAGCTCCAAGCCCATCCTCATCTCCTTTCACATCCCCAACTCCGTCCCCATCTTCATCTCCTATTTCTTCCGCCAACTCCAAATTCATCCTCACCCCCCCATCATCCCATTCCAAGTTCCCGTTCCAGTCTTTCCTCCATCTTCTGCATCCATTTCCTGATCTGCATCCCCATCCCTATCCCCAGTTCTTTCCCCAACCCCACCCACAACTCCCTCTCTTCTCCCACTTCCATCCAAACCCCATACCCTACCCTTGGGTGGATCCTCATTCCCACCCCATCTCATCCATCCTGTCTGTCCTACCCCAATCCATTCCATCCATTCTGTCCCAACCCAACCCATCCTGTACCAATCTAACTCATCCATTCTGTCATGCCCCATCCCATCCCAACCATTCTGACCCAACCCAACAGTCCCCATCCTCACCCAATACACTCATTCTGCCCCACTCCACCCCAAACCATCCCAAACTATCAATTCTGTCCCATCTCATCCCACCTCAACCCATCCATTCTATCCCATCCCATCCTGACCAATTTCAACCCACCCCATTCCCTCCCAATCCACTCATACTCTAACCCATCACCATCTCCATCCCTCCCTGCTCTGGGAGCAATGAGGACAACCAGAGCTCCCCAGTCCAGCTGAGCACAGGGGATGCATCTCTGCGGCCCCCCTCCACCTCCAGCCCTGACCTCCCAATCCCTATGGCTGTGCTCACCTCTGCAGGTTGCCCGGCCCCCACCACAATCAGCTTGCCATCTTCTAGCCCCACAAGGATGTGGCTCTTCTCCTTGGTCACCGACACGCTGTGGATGGGCACTCGCATGGGCAAAGGGTGCACTGCTGCCTGGAGGCTGCAAAGAAGAGAAGATGTGGCAGATGGGAACTTATGGGAGTCTCAAGGGGGTGTCAGCAGGACGGGCACAGTGACATCAGATGTCACATTGAGTGACACGGTTCAGTGGGCATGGTGGTGATGGGCTGATGATTGGACTTGGTGATGTGAGAGGTCCCTTCCAGCCTTAATGATTCAATTATTCTATCCCTCACCTCTGGAGGTCACGGATCTCCAGCCCACACTGCATGGTCCCCAGCACCACAAACTCCTCCGTCATGCACATGGCCGTCACCTCCTGGTCCAGCGGGACGGAGGCAAGGTGCTTCCCATTCACTGAGTAGAGGTGCAGCGTGAATTTATCCTTCAAAAGAGAGCAAAATGAGGGATAACAGAGAGGAGGGAGTGGGGGACATGGGGACACCAGCCCTGCCGTGCCACCTCACCTTCAGGGAAGCGCGCTCACCCACAGCGGTCTGGGTGACAATCTGCCCCTCCGGCCCCACAGCCAGGTGGGTGATGGCAGCGGGCAGCGAGCTCTCGCAGGGGGGCCACAGGGACTTCATGAAGAGCCCCCGTTGGATGGTGTGGATGATGATGGTGCCATCCTAAGGAGAAAGGGGACAAGGTAGCCGTGGTTGGTGCTGCCAACACCTAGAGATGAGCCACGCCACCTGCCCTGGCTGACCTTGGAGCCTGAGACAGCCATGTCCAGCTCGGTGCTGATGGCCACGCACGTCACCTCGTCATCGTGGCCGTACAGGACCTGGATGGGTTTGGGGGCCAAGCCGCTGGAAAACCCGCCCTGTTGGAGGGCACACAGGGACCTCAAGGACCTTGCTGTGCCACTGCACACTCCCAGCAGTGACTGTCTTCATGCTAAGAGCTGGCACAAAGTGCAGCTCCCTACCTGCTGCAGGACCTGCCACACCATGCAGGTGGTGTCCCGGGAGCCAGAAATGAGGTAGATGCCACACAGGTCGAGTGCCAGGCAGGTAACAACATCTGTGACATGAACGGAGACACCGTTGAGCTGCTGCTCCTGTGCCAAGGTGTCTCAGCATCAGGTGGCACTGAGAGAGACGCAGAGATGGTGTCTGGGGAGATGTCCCTGCACAGTCCTGGCACCCCATGGAGGGGGATACTGTACCTATGTGCCGGGTGATGTGCCCAATGACCTTCCCCTTGCCCAGCGAGGTGACGCGCAGGCTGTTGTCCCAGTGTCCCCCACTGAAGAGCAGTTTCCCATCGGGGGACACAGCCAGAGTGCGGGAGCACAGGTCGGCACCGGGGGCAAAGGGGCCCTGCAGGAAACGCTGGGTCCTGGAGTGGAGGGACATGGGATGATGACAAGGACACAGGCAGGTGAATGGCACCACCAGCACCCCACGATGCTGTGTGACCCAAGGAACCCAGGGACAGAGGATATCCTTGCGGGCTCACTTTGCATTGGAGACGGTGGGGTCTTTGGTGAAGCTGAAGTAGTTGGAGATGTTCTTGTCGTAGGGCAGCCAGCTGTGGGTCCCCAGCAAGCCGTTGGCACTCACGGTGACCTGGGCAGAGGTGGTGACAGCTGTGACACGGCCCAGGGACACCCAACACCAGCATCCTCCAGTTCCCCTTTGCTCACCAGGACATCGGGGGATCCCTGAGTGATGAAGGAGTGCGCCTGGTTCTTGGGGACCACAGCTTGCACCAGGGACACACCATCGCTGATGCCCTGCAGGGAACACACAGTCAGTGTGTCCCCTCCTCATTGGTGCCCCTGCCACCCCATGTCCCTGTTCCCACCTCCACAAAGAAGGACTTGAGCTGGTCCAAGTTCTCGAAGACGTTGGGTGGACGGGTGTCCAGGCGTGCGAGCCTTCGGGCTGCACTCTCAGCTGACATCCGGGCAGGATGGGGTTCCTGGGGGGACAAAGCCATGAAAACGGGGTAGCACCTCCTCAAACGAGGCAGGGGGCTTTAGTTTTTCGGAAGGAATGAGCCACCTTGAGCAGCTGGCAGGGTGTCTGCCCGAAGTTGCTGATGATACCCTCCAAAGCCTTCCTCTGTGTCTCATCAGCAATGGCATCCAGGTCCACAGCACCTGGGGATGGGGGTGTCAGTGAGGCCGCCAGTGGGCACCCCCCCCACCCTGTCCCCCTGGCTCACCCTCATATGTGCAGTAGTAGAAGACGTTGAGGGCCTCCACAGCAGCTGGGCCTCGCTGTTTGTACCCAAAAATGAGATCGATCCACTCGTGGAGGTGGGCTGAGACGTACTCTGATTCCTGAATGGACACTGGGTGTCAGCAGGGCTGGGAATGCCCGTTTTCTCCCCAAAACAATCCCACTCCAGCATCTCACCAGGGCTTTGCGGTGTTGGTAGATGAAGTCCTCACGGGAGCGTGCCCACCGTGGCAGCACCACGTCGCTCACCTTCTCGTTGGACATCTGCAGGCAGCCCAGATCAAAGCCTGTGGGCAGAGTACAGCCAGCAGTCAAGGCTACAACCATCCTGTCCCCATCCCCATCCCCATCCCCATCCCCATCCCTCCATCACCATTCTGGTTCTCCAAGAATTCAG